TGCAGCAGCACACACCCTGGTGTGTGTGTGTGTGTGTGTGTGTGTGTGTGTGTGTGTGTGTGTGTGTGTGTGTGTGTGTGTGTGTGTGTGTGTGTGTGTGTGTGTGTGTGTGTGTGTGTGTACCCTGCGGCTGCGACGGCCTCTCTTCTGCTGCTGCTGTTGTTCGATGAGCTCCATGGCAGAGGCGGGGGGGGAGGCAGCTCTCATGGCCCTCACCACCTTGATGCTGTCCTCCGGCAGCGGGGCCAGGTTCAGACGCTCCCGGCCCCTCACCTTCATCCCCTGGAGCTCCTCGAAACCCCCCAAGGTGAACTGGAAGATAAGGATGGAGAGAGGAACACGGTCATTCACAAGAGTAGGTGCAGGGAATCACAGAGAGTCAGGAGGAACTGATGCAGGTGGATGTATCTCCACTAGAATACACTTCATTCTGTAGTAGATACTCAGAATGTTACATGCAGGTGTTAGTAATGCAATGGAAAGGATGTGCTAGTTCTGTACTGAAAGTGATTATTTTTGACATGCAGAGCTAGCATAGATAATAATTATTTATCCAATCGGATGGGACTCTTTATTGCACAGATTTTGACTTTTTTATTTAAAGTTCCTTCCCGACCATCACTGGCAGCTAACTCCAATACCACCAATAGTATTATAATAATAATCATCATTTTAGTGTAGCTTAATACTGATCTGCAACCTTACAGATATATCAGGTTTAAACATAATGAATAAACATGCAAAAAATAAAATATATATAATAATAGAATATGTTTCAATGTTTGAAAGTTCATTATGTACTAACCAGTATTGTCTTCCAGAGCAGCAGTAGTACTTTCTTCATGGGGAAGTGTGGGGCGTTCATGCTGCAGAACTTGGTCACCATGGTGAAGAGGAGCAGGGCAAAGGGCTCTCCGTTGTACAAAGGTGAACCTGAGGGGTCAAAGGTGGATTTTAGATTGGATATTGGAAAGCATCTGTTAAGGGCGGCGTTCTATTCTGTGCTGAAGATGCTAAAAAATTGACACAAGCAGTTATTTATTTCGTTAGGAAGCCCTGAAGGAAAGTGAAAAGATCTCAGGGTTTACGTAATAAACTAGTAATCTGTATTATACAGAAATGTATGCTAAATCAGATCAAAGGAATGTACATTTATGAAAGTAAAGAGCTACTACTTCTCAGGGTTCATACACTTTTTCACCAATGATTTTCAATGACTTCTCCATGACCTTTACCTAATTTTCCATGACCAAAAAAATTACTCTTTCTCAGCGGTACCACTGAACATGGTTTATTTTAACATGGAACAGGAAAACAAGGTCTGCATATGAAACATGTTGTGCCTATCTAAAA